TGCTGATTGTTTCATTGGAGTGTAATGTGTCCAAGGGGCTTCTGTAAATCATTTCAGTAACTTTACGTTAAAATTGTTGTTTGATTGCATGTTGTTTAATGTCCCATTCGAGAATTTTTCACTCATATAGCAACGTCACCGTATGCCGTGAAGGGCTTCAAATTTAGTCTTATACTCGGCACTCAGGGAAAGTGAATTTAAGAGCGGTGCCGAATTTGAAAGTTTATGTTTATTTTTAAAGTTTTTGCCGTATAATAAACTATTGCATGAATATTCGGGAAACATGAAGATTTATTCAGCCAAGAAATATCATATTCCCCTCGGGCGAAGCTCTCGGTCCTGTCCCCAATCACCTGTGAATTACAGTCAGGTGAATGGTGCATTTAATCTCGCTGCGTTAAAATCATTTCCAACCAGTACTTTCAGTGCTTTGATTTATTCGCTGCCGGTTGCAATAAACTATGACACAGATGGATTAAAATGTTTCATAATCTATGGAGAGTAGATGACACAAATTTCCCCTATATAATAATCGATCAGTCTGCAAGAATTTTTGTGCAATACGCGCTGGTGTGCGGATCTCAAGGGAATTGTATACCATCTGTCTTGTTTAAGGACGAATATGCTGGCTATTCTACTATAGCACGAAGATACTTTTGAGGAGTAATTATTTTGATTTCTGTTTAAGGTCAGACGACACGTTTCTCAAAAATATACAACTTTTCCCAATATCTTGTGATTGAAATATTGCTACCTAAGAAGTTCCCTCACAAAAAATTGGGGTACATTACAAGGTATTTGTGCAAGATTCCGGAGAATAATCCTACACTGGAGATCACTTGAACTGCATGCTGATATCATTATTTTTGTCTATATATTTTTCCGACATTTTGAAAAAAGTTTAGAAATCAAAATATTATGATAATTATAAATATTCTTGGTACATTACAAAATAATGCAAACCAGATATTTGGGGAACGTGTCGTTTGACCGTAAGCAAACTTACAGTGAACCTTGACCGCAATGTCCTATTGATTCATATCTAACATTGAGTGACTGACACTGCATCTCAGCAGCTTCTGTTAAGTAAACCTGGATATATCCTATTGATTCACTGAGTGCAGTGTCTATACACATCTCATTTCCGTCGACATATTTACAAACAGTACAATTTAATAAATGTGCACTAAAAAATCATTATTTACTCTCTAATACAGAGAATTACTTCCACTGTTGTATCTGAACCATTATTCCTTTTAGATACTAATCTCTAAGATGAATACCTGCGGGTATGCTATCAAAAGTGTCATAAGAATAGTCCTAAGATATGACTTAAGAGATATCTTAGGACAAAACTTAGGATGGTCCTAAGAGAGTTCTTAAGATCGACATAGAAGCTCTCTTAGGAAAGTCCTAACTAGGATAGACTTACGAGATTCTTTAGACAAATCTTAAATATTTAAATCATCACAGACTATGTTTATAATAATTATAGTTATATAATAAAATAAAAAAACAATTATGGGGACTTACAATTTTTTTAATAACTTGTAAAAATTAGATTAGAGAGAAGTAGTCATAGAACAATTTTCTACTTCTAAAAACGCTTTCTTATTTTAATTAATAAATTAATTAAAGGGACAACTCTCTCTCTCTCTCTCTCAAATAAATAAATAAATAAATAATGAAGAAAATAGGAAAACATACATATTGAAAAAGTTTAAAAGTTAAGTTTGTACAAATTCACATTTCAATATTAATATTTGCACAGCAAATTAGATAAATAAATTTTATATAATTAACAAACTAAGAAATAAACCCGTCTCGTATTAACTTAACTTGGGCGAGCAATGTAGGGGACAGAGTCTATACAGGGAAATACTGCCTCGATTATAGTAAGATAGCTTTTGACGCGGTATAGAACCTCCTCAGTTTCATATAAGGTACGGCGAGCATGAATAGCCCTTGGAAGTGACCTCTTCAAGTTACTGTGTCCCGCTAAATCCCGTGCTGGTTAGTGCTATTCTCATTCATTCGTGATCTTCGACTGGATAATAACTAGTATAGCATTAGGTTTTTATAACGCATATAAAGAACCATCAAAGCAATCCCGACTTTTTCGATGTGTAACTTAAATACTTTTGGAATTGTGACCACTAACTCCAATATTAAATCAAGTCAATTTAATTTCTTGATTGCTAAGAAGAAATATAATAGTACGGCAAATTACTATTGGACAATTATTTATACATAGGTAGGAACGAAGCACTCAGTGTTTTTCAAAGTTGGAGGGAAGGGAGTGGGCAGAGCAACATATTGTAACTAAAATTTACAACCGTTAAATAAACATACAAAGAAAAAAAAGAAAAAGTTCCTTATCAACTCTGAGAGAAACACAAGAAAGGAAAACCTCTAAACTCGATATATATAAAGGGGGGGGGGGGGGCGGGGGTAAAAGAAACTTTTTTGTAAAAGGTTTTTTTTTTGGGGGGGGGGGAGTAAAAGGAGGACCCACCTTGCCCCCTCCCACCCTCCAATACATGTCTGATAAGAAATGAACGAAAGTTTGGAATCTCTTAATTTCATGTTAGGACGGGTCTTGCAATGTCTTAACTTTAGAAATCCTAAGATATGTCTTAAGTTAGGGCAGATTCAATGGCCTCACTTAGGACTAAGATATCTCTTAAGATATGTCTTAGTCCTAAGATGGCTTCGATAGCATGTCTGCTGGACCATAAGTGGAAAATACGTCAAGGAATGTATGCTTCAACTGAAACTCAGCAGATGTATCTGACCTGTACTTAATAATTATTGGCAATAACAAGATTTAAGCTGCAGATACTTATTAATTATTGGCACTTACATTTTGTAAGAATTTGAAAAATTATTCTATTTTTTGAAAACATTACAATATCATTAATTGAAAACACAAACAGATAAACAGAAGTATTTATATTGATGTACTCTAAACAAGAAGTATTTATATTACTGTAATTTACTTATGTATTTCATTTTACCAAAATCATATCAAATCAGAAGAAGGAGTGGCATTCAAAAATAGCTAACAGATGGGCAGATAAGTGAAACTCAGTAACAAAGACTCCTGGTCTGTTGTCATGTGTAGACAAGTGACACTCAGTAAGGTCTCCTGGTCTCTTGTCATGTGTAGACAAATGAGACTCAGTAAAGACTCCTGGTCTGTTGTCATGGGTAGACAAGTGACACTCAGTAAGGTCTCCTGGTCGCTTGTCATGGGTAGATAAATGACACTCAGTAAGGTCTCCTGGTCTGTTGTCATGGGTAGACAAGTGACACTCAGTAAGGTCTCCTGGTCTCTTGTCATGTGTAGACAAATGACACTCAGTAAAGACTCCTGGTCTGTTGTCATGGGTAGACAAGTGACACTCAGTAAGGTCTCCTGGTCGCTTGTCATGGGTAGATAAATGACACTCAGTAAGGTCTCCTGGTCTGTTGTCATGGGTAGACAAGTGACACTCAGTAAGGTCTCCTGGTCTCTTGTCATGTGTAGACAAATGACACTCAGTAAAGACTCCTGGTCTGTTGTCATGGGTAGACAAGTGACACTCAGTAAGGTCTCCTGGTCGCTTGTCATGGGTAGACAAGTGACACTCAGTAAAGACTCCTGGTCTGTTGTCATGGGTAGACAAGTGACACTCAGTAAGGTCTCCTGGTCGCTTGTCATGGGTAGACAAATGACACTCAGTAGTCTCCTGGTCTGTTGTCATGGGTAGACAAGTGACACTCAGTAAGGTCTCCTGGTCGCTTGTCATGGGTAGACAAATGACACTCAGTAAGGTCTCCTGGTCGCTTGTCATGGGTAGACAAATGACACTCAGTAAAGTCTCCTGGTCTTTTGTCATGGGTAGACAAGTGACACTCAGTAAAGTCTCCTGGTCACTTGTCATGGGTAGACAAGTGACACTCAGTAAGGTCTCCTGGTCACTTGTCATGGGTAGACAAATGACACTCAGTAAGGTCTCCTGGTTGCTTGTCATGGGTAGACAATGACACTCAGTAAAGTCTCCTGGTCGCTTGTCATGGGTAGACAAGTGACACTCAGTAAGGTCTCCTGGTCGCTTGTCATGGGTAGACAAATGACACTCAGTAAGGTCTCCTGGTCGCTTGTCATGGGTAGACAAGTGACACTCAGTAAGGTCTCCTGGTCGCTTGTAATGGGTAGACAAATGACACTCAGTAAGGTCTCCTGGTCGCTTGTCATGGGTAGACAAATGACACTCAGTAAGGTCTCCTAGTTTGTTGTCATGGGAAGATAAGTAACTCTCAGTAATGTCTCCTGGTCTGTTGTCATGGGTACACAAGTCTCCTGGTCTGTTTTCATGGGTACACAAGTCTCCTGATCTGTGGTCATGGGTACACAAGTCTCCTGGTCTGTTGTCATGGGTACACAAGTCTCCTGGTCTGTTGTCATGGGTACACAATCCTCCTGGTCTATTGTCATGGGTACACAAATCTCCTGGTCTGTTGTCATGGGTAGACAAATGACACTCAGTAAGGTCTCCTAGTTTGTTGTCATGGGAAGATAAGTAACACTCAGTAATGTCTTCTGGTCTATTGTCATGGGTACACAAAGCTCCTGGTCTGTTGTCATGGGTACACAAATCCCTTGGTCTGTTGTCATGGGTAGACAAATGACACTCAGTAAGGTCTCCTAGTTTGTTGTCATTGGAAGATAAGTAATGCTTAGTAATGTCTCCTGGTCTGTTGTCATGGATTCACTAGTCTATTGGTCTGTTTTCATGATTACACAAGTCTCCTGGTCTGTTGTCATGGGTACATAAGTCTCCTGGACTGTTGTCATGGGTACATGGGTACACAAGTCTCCTGGTCTGTTGTCATGGGTACACAAGTCTCCTGGTCTGTTGTCATGGGTACACAAGGGACACTCACTAAGGTCTCATGGGAGGCCCACACTTACTCTGTTTTTTTTTTATTTTGATCAAAGTATTGTAAACCAACTATTATTCTCAACAACTTTTATTCAGGATATCTTCAAATTAATTTTTACAAGTGAGAAACTGTTTTATATGAAAATATACAATTAAATAAGTCATTTGTGGTGGGAAATATTGTCAAGTTGAAGAAACTTGAAGCAACTTTCTTGCACATGTTGGTTTATATTATGTTTCTTTTTTACCTCAGTATGTATTTTTAAGAGAACAAAATGAACATTATGAACTGAGCTGAACTGTTAATAGATATTTTTAACAATAAAATCAATACAACACCTGGCACATTATTGAAATGTACAGAGTAATGAAGAGACATTTAAAACAGACAAAGCCTTGTCCTTCCCATTTCAGGAGATTCTAGCTTTGGTTGGAAGATTTGCTTTGTTTTATGGGTGTTACAACACAGACAATGTTTATTTTAGGTCTGTCAGATGTTCTGTTCATCTCTGTGACATGGCACAGTCTGTTATGGGGGGTTTCCAGTGAGTACATGTCCAAGTATCCTCCACAGTCTGTTATGGGGGGTTTCCAGGGAGTACATGTCTAAGTATCCTCCTCTGGCTGTAATGGTTTCCAAGATCGCCCACTAACTTTGTCCAGAACTTTTTGAAAGGCAAAAACACAGTATATTGCTGAAAAAAATCAGATAAAGTTAAATTTGCAACTGGATTAGATTTCAATAGATACAAGTTATAACAAACACTTACAGAGATACATTATGACTTCTGGGCCTAAAGTATGCACTCATTCACAGAACTGTCTTGGGACTAAAGACCTCCCATGGGTCAAGTCATTAACTTAGTATTAGATTGTTTGGCAGTTTATATCTAAGTCAAGGTTACAACAATATTATCAGCAAATTCAGTTGTAGGCTCTTGTGACATTATCAGCTTTACTTCTAAATTAATGAATCAAAAAACCAACTTACTCGTTGCTTCCCACTCAGACTTTGACAATGTTCCCTGAAAAATACAACAATCATTACATCAACAGCTCTACACACTGAACAAGATTTACTTCTGTCAAATTTCAACAGATCTCGATAAATAGAGATATCAATAAATATGTCCATGAAATGAAATATCTTCAGAACTGGGAAAATCATCATGGTCATTAATGGTGACATGGTAGAAAGTAAGTCTCATTATTTACCCCTAGGTAATGGCAACTACAGTATGATCCATATAACTACAGAATCTTAAATATAATAATCTCCCCCCCCCCCCCCCCAACTGCAAAATTAAAATTCTTCTCGACAATGAAAGGTACGGTAATGGTTTTCAGTCTTTGTCTTCCAGCCACATGAAGAACTCACCACTTTGGGGGCTACTCTTTGTTTGACGTGATCTGGCCTATCATCAGAGGTGAGAATTTCCTGATATTTTTTTTCTGTTGCAGCATAATCATCTGGTGCCTTGCCCAGTAAGTCATCACTCGGATAGGTCTGAAACAATACAAACTTCATACAGCATACAACTAGAGTGTTCCAAGGACACACACGTGTGTCACCTGCTATAGAATCATTAAAAATATAAATACATGTACATCCAAGAGTACTCAGCTAAGTATTATTATAGTTGATGAATTTGCAAGCAAAGAAAAAACATCCATGGATATAAGACTGTGACAGAATAGCAAAAAAAGGTGACAATTAAATAGAAATATGTTTCCTCAACCCTCAAAGCAAAAATGAATAATGCAATTGAAATTATTAGAAATAATTATCTATGTAATCTAGTCATAAGTGTTTAATTCAACAATCCCTCAAATTTGTAGCTAGAGAGAGATTTCAGTCTGTTTTTACTACAATTGTCAGTCTACAACATCATTTGAAATACAATGCATTTCAGTATACCGAAATCCTGATGTATTTTCATAGTATTTAAAGTTAAATTTGTGTGGTAACTGTACATCATACAGTTTAAAAGTACAGTTTATAACATGTACATGTAATATATAGCCTACTGGTATGCGGTTATCAAAGTTCTGTATCACAAAATTCAGACAAAATAAGATAAATTAACAATTTGGATATATTTTTGAAAAGTATGTCAAAGGTCAAGTGGACTGCAATGCTGGTATTTTTCATAAAGGCTTATGACAAGCAGTGCACATGCTTACAGGACAGATCTACCTCTTATGTGTCCAAAAATATGCTGTATATCATCAACATGAATGAAGTAGGTCAAAGGTCAAGATGGAAGGTCATGACCTCAGTGACCAAGATATTTTAAAAAAGTCATTTTATTTACCTCTAAACCTTGCATTTTATTTAGAAGGTTCCTGTATTCTCCCTTTTCTACATTTTCAGAGAAGTAATCTGCAAATGTTTTCTTATATACGAGTTTCATACCATAGTCTTCAGCCAACCTACAAAATCGGAAATACACCAGAAAAAATAAAACATATGTATTAAAATCAACTGATCCAATGGATCAACAACTTCCTTACAATTATATATATATATGGTTATATTTGAATTACTAGTATATGACCATTTATCCTGAGTAGAATTTTCTTAAGACATTAAAAATCCACCCACTTTTCTAGTACTGGAAAGTACACCAAGAATTCTGGACAGTCCACAACCCCCTCTAGATGAAAGTTATATTTAGCACAAAACAAGGGCACGTTGTCAAGGTCATCCAGTTCATAGGTCACCCTGTAGACATCATTGCCAAAGGATTTGTCTTCCGAGGACCTCAGCCTTTTCCTGTTGAATATCAATATCACATAGCTCCATTGTACATTGATATTGTAGTATTAGAATGTATGTATGTAGTATAAATACTGTTGTTATAGCCTATACAGAGATCATTAGCTGATGATGCAATATGGTATATATGTATAAAACAGTGGAACTTGGGTGTCTCAAACATTGATATCTGAAATACCATGGATATGTCATAGAGAGTTGGAAGTCATAACCACTTTATCTTTATTTTAACCTCAATATCTGGAATCCTCACATATCTCAAAGTTTTTGTCTTGATCCCATAAAGTTTAAGATAACAAGGTTTGAATGTATTTTTAAAATCACCTCAAGAAGTACAAGGACATATCTACAATTTTAACCTTTTGACCTTGATTAAGTAACCTCAATTTTTTAGTTTATCCTTGACCATTCCTTACCTGTGTAGTATTATAAATAAGTAAGTTAAGAAGAACTCAAGTCAGTGTTCATAAATAAATCAATAATCTTGATCTTTTGACCTTGATTGATTGATTGTTTGTATGTTGTTTTATGTCCCGTTCGAGAATTTTTCATTCATACAGAGATGTCACCATATACTGGTGAAGGACTTCAAATTTAGACCTTTACTTGGCACTAAGAGCCATTGAGCAGTGAGGGTTCTTTATCGTGCCAACTCCTTCTGTGACACGGGGCCTGGGTTTTTAAGGTCTCATCCAAAGGACCCACAACTTTCACTTCAAAGTGCTGAGCGCTTGGCGAAGGAACAGTTGCTACCTATTTTTTATCGACTTATGTCAGTCGCGGCCATGATTTGAACACATGACCTTCCGATCACAGAGCGAGCCCTTTGTCGACTGAGCTACCATGAGGGCTTTTTTATGACCTTGACCTTTGATTGAATGCAATGAAATACTTTGAAATTTTTATGTTGTGAATATAAATTATTGAAAAAAAGGTACTTGACAATGAGCTATTGCATTGCATTAGAAATATCATAAATCACCTTGATCTGAGTGAGCCCAGATTTTAGGTATGTTTCTTAGCCACTCTTAAATTGTATAAGTTGAAATCAAAAGCACTCTGGATATCTGGAGTGCTGCATCTGCAGACATTCATTATCATTAGGGAATGAATTTAACAAGTAGGCTAAATCTGGCTTTCAAACTTTGGTTTACTAACTGCATGTTGGTACATGTATCTTAAATGGGTGGGGTGGGGTTGATGGGTCTTTCAGTGTAAAGATACATGTTAAAAAAAATATGCAAGTGATTACAATTAGAACTGTTTCCACCTATTTCAGAGAAGCTCAAAATATAGGATATTTAACAGTTATGAAACATTCTGTGAACAGCAAAGTGTCCAAGCCCTGTACAGTTCAACATAACTTTTGTTAATGAATTTCAAGGAAAACAAAGTACAGACAATTCAATAACAGTGATGTGGCTTTTACACTATTTTTTTTGCAAGGTGTGAAGACGAACTGGAAGAAGAAAACAATGTGTGAATTTGCAGCTATGAATACTGATAATGTGAAATTTTCGGTGAAAATAGTTACATAAATAATATTTCTGCTGAACTCAGGAAAAGAATTCTGATTTCTCTCTCTGATTACAATGTAAGAGAGAGACCACTGTGGTGAAGACTGAATAACACACTAATACATCCCTCAAAATATTCTGTCAACAAAGGGTTTCAATACTTGCTACACTTAATTAGCTTGCATAAAAAATACAAACTTGTTATAAAAAGTGTTTAGTCACCAGAAGTGCTGAAGTCTGATCATAAATTTTCTCAATGAATGGATGTAATATCACCAAGATCATCAGTAAGTTTTATACCATGTGATATTTATTATTTATAAATGATAAATTCTTCTGTCTTACATGATCTCTAAGGAGTTGGGCGTTGTTCCAATGAAGTATCCTCCCAATGCCAGACACTCGCAGGCATTCTGTAACATCACCCGAGTCTGGGGGAGACTCTCAAAGCAGTAATGAAATGAAAACTGACAACTGCACAAGTCAAACTTCATTGAAGAATCTTTGTACTTCCCTCTGAGTTGAACCTGAATAAAATTCAAACTTAAAATAAAATGCGGACAGTTTTGTACATATGAGGACTTACTTTTAAAAAAATGATATTTGATACAGAATATAAATAATGATTATATCGTTGTTAAGCAAGTCCTCATATGTACAAAACCATCCGCAATTTCAACCTCAAGTTGTTGGTCTCCAGTTTTTCTTTGTTTAAAATTCAAACTGTAAACCAATTTTGGGAAGAACTTTGCATTTTTTATATTTCCTTTTAAGATTTATGTGTGGTTCCAATTTTAATTATTATAAGTTTTTTTTTTTGTAAAAGTAATACATAAATTAGTTTCTGGCACATTTGGAATCATTTGAGTGAACACATGCTGTTTCACTTTAAAGTTCTACACAGGTTCAATGGCTTCGAACATGAAAATCAATTTTGAATTCAATATAAAAGAAGACGGGTGAACATGACGAGCGATAAGCCTATATTGTGACAAACATGAAGATGAAAAATTAAATCTCAATTATATCAAAATTTTCCTTGATATTTCATCTAACATTATAATATACTTCTCTACAATTTGCAAAAATCTCACAAAGATTGAAATTATTTGCTTATGAAATATTGTACACACACTAAAGAGGGCAAAAAGAGTCATTTTCTCATACTATAACACTATTTTTCGATATGAGTGTGTCTTCACTCTATTTTTTTGAAAGTTAATCCTTGAAGTCTGAATAAAAATATACATTTTTTTTTCCCAAAAATATGGAGCAAAGACCCACTATACCTTAAAAATATACTTTTATGACATATCTTTCGCATCTTTTCGAGAAATACCTGAAGACCATTAAGTCAAGGGTTATATCACAAACATGATTTAAATGCCACTATTCATCAGGACTTGTGTAGTCTAGTGGTTAGTGTGCTAGTCTCGAAAGAAAATGCTTCTCAGGATTTTTATTGCTAGGGTTCGAACCCTACGAATAACACATTATTTTTTAAAAAAAGAATAAATTTTGCCGAGAAAATTTCCTCAGAAAAGTTTTGTTTATCAAAATTTCATAAATTTCAATAATGAGAAGTTTACTCTAAATAATGAATTCACAAACTGAACTTGATTTTTATGTTTCTGAAGCTATAGGCTTTCTGCATGCTATGTTTGCCCATCTCCTTTAACATTGTAAACTAAAGATCACAATTATCACTGTGAGGCCTTATGCCAGATGGTCTAAATTGAACAGGGTTCAAATTACAACAGTAAACAAATATGGAAACCTGTTCATATTGTTGAATAGTTAATCATCTCTTTTCAGTTTGTTGAAGAACTAGGAGGAATTTACTTAAATATTTTTCTGTTGACAATGTTTAAGCATAGATTTTTCAGTATTTTTAGCTTAGACATTTTTCGGAGATTGCATCTTAGATTACAATCAGCATGGTATACTGCTAATTCCAGTCATGGAGGTCAATTCCTCGGATTTTTAACAATAAAATTGGTGTAAATTTGTTACAATTACCCTTAGTGTTAAAATTAACCTTTAAAATTGCATGTTTCTAACTTTTAGTATCCCCAATAATATATATATCGTGACTATTTTAACACTTAAGTTTATTGGTTATTTTCTTTTTACAATTTTATCCTTCCCAAAGCTTGCTATTCCTATAATTCCAGGCATTGCTATGTTCCAAATTCATTCATGCTAACTATCAATATATTGTGGTCCCCACTCTTGTTTGTTAGAATAAATACAGTATGTGTTTTGTAACAAAATTAATTGTTGATATAATTGATAAAGTTTTATTTTCAGGTCATACAGTGTGACAGTTTTTACAAGGAATTATTAATTGATATATATGTACCATTTTCTTTTGTGGAATGCATCAACTGACACCTTTGGTTGCGTAAGTTCTGGTCAGGATGATCCCTATATGGTATTTAGTTGCGTTTGAAGCCATAATAATGAACATCTGATAGCCTACTCACCTTTGTACAGTCTGCTGTGATGAATTCAGCCGAGAAAATCTCAATCAACATCTGATAGCCTACTCACCTTTGTACAGTCTGCTGTGATGAATTCAGCCGAGAACATCTCAATCAACATGTGATAGCCTATTCACCTTTGTACAGTCTGCTGTGATGAATTCAGCTGAGAACATCTCAATCAACATCTGATAGCCCACTCACCTTTGTACAGTCTGCTGTGATGAATTCAGCCGAGAACATCTCAATCAACATCTGATAGCCTACTCACCTTTGTACAATGTGCTGTGATGAATTCAGTCAAGCAACTCAATCAACATCCGATAGCCTGCTGTGATGAATTCAGCCAAGAACATCTCAATCAACATGTGATAGTCTACTCACCTTTATACAAGGTGCTGTGATGAATTCAATGGAGAACATCTCAATCAACATCTGATAGTCTACTCACCTTTGTACAGTCTGCTGTGATGAATTCAGTGGAGAACATCTCAATCAACATGTGATAGCCTACTCACCTTTGTACTGTCTGCTGTGATGAATTAAGCAGAGAACATCTCAATCAACATGTGATAGCCCACTCACCTTTGTAAAGTCTGCTGTGATGAATTCAGTGGAAAACATCTCAATCAACATGTGATAGCCTACTCACCTTTGTACAGTCTGCTGTGATGAATTCAGTGGAGAACATCTCAATCAACATCTGATAGTCTGCTGTGATGAATTCAGTGGAGAACATCTCAATCAACATGTGATAGCCTACTCACCTTTGTACAGTCTGCTGTGATGAATTCAGCCAAGAACATCTCAATCGACATCTGATAGCCCACTCATTTTTGTACACATCTCAATCAACATGTGATAGCCTACTCACCTTTGTACAGTCTACTGTGATGAATTCAGCCAAGAACATCTCAATGGACATAGGGTAGCCTACATGTACTCACCTTTGTACAGTCTGCTGTGATGAATTCAGCCAAGAACATCTCAATCGACATCTGATAGCCCACTCATTTTTGTACACATCTCAATCAACAGGTGATAGCCTACTCACCTTTGTACAGTCTACTGTGATGAATTCAGCCAAGAACATCTCAATGGACATAGGATAGCCTACATGTACTCACCTTTGTACAGTCTGCTGTGATGAATTCAGCCAAGAACATCTCAATCAACATCTGATAGCCTACTCACCTTTGTACGGTCTGCTGTGATGAATTCAGTGGAGAAGATCTCAATCAACATCTGATAGTCTACTCACCTTTGTACAGTCTGCTGTGATGAATTCAGCCGAGGACATCTCAATCGACATCTGATAACCTACTCACCTTTGTACAGTCTGCTGTGATGAATTCAGCGGAGAACATCTCACCGGAGTGGCGATCATGTTGAATTCTGCCGATCATCTCTCGATATCGACTTTCACATTGTTCAACTGATGTCCCAGCAATATCTGGAAATTTAATGTACTGATGTATTAATTTTCTCAGACTGAAATTCCCTTCTTAGTACATACTATTGGGGGAGACAACTCAAGAAAAACAAATATTACAAAGAATTCATCCAAGATCAATAATCTAAAATTAATAATTTTTATAAATTTTAGTTCCCATTCTGTAACTCTAAACAAAAAACAGAGATGACATGATTAAAATTGTAAGAATCTAAAGATGCTTGACAATCATTCAGGGCCATTGAGCAGAAAGGGTTAGTGATGGGAATCGGTAAAAATTTCATAATCAATGATTGGGTTACTGTAACTAGCTAATTATTGATTATAATCAGACATTTACAAAGTCTATCAATTTGATTAATTAAATGGTAAGAATGGGTAAATGACTATTTTCTGAATATATATTTGTTACTTATTTTGCTGAAAAAGAATAAATGGATATCACCTGAGTGTTTTATTGATTGTGTATCTGTTGTAGAACCCAAAGTACGTCCATATACGGGAACATACTTTGTTACCCAGGCATGGATACAATTGTCTGTTCTTCAGCGCCATTATGATTACAAATAAGTACATAGATTAGTGGTGGCTGGAATATTCCGCTTAAAAACTATTACGCTTGTAAAATAATTTAAAAAAATAAATCAATTAATAGGAATAAAAATTTTGTAATGGAGCACTTGGATTATGCCAAGAATTGACCGATTTTCAATATAATCGATGATTGGAACACCACTAGAAAGGATTCTTTATCATGCCAATGCCCACCTTGACATGGGGACCTCAGTTTTAAGGACTTTCATTTGGAATGCCGGGTGATTGGCAAAAGGAACAGTCACTACCTATGTTTATGTCTTAGGTTTGACGTGGCGCAGTGAAGGAGAACTGAACCTGGGCTTCCCCATTATGAAGCAAACGCCCTACCAATAGGCTACCATGACTGGTATTTAAGTTTCAGCTTGCAATGCAAATGGTTTGAAAATCATGCCTTCAATTACTTGAAGATCAAAATTTCAACTTATTACATGCATGTACAAGTAGAAATAAAGTCAAAGAAATAATATCTACAGCTAAGAATGTAAAATTAAATTTCAATGTCTCAGCAGTATGCATTTTTTACGAGATCCCACAAAGGCTGTCAGTGCTGTAGGCAAAGTTTTTGAAACAGTGACTTTCCAAGTCCATAGAAGCCATTTTAAAACCATTGAAAGGTAAACAAAATTGCAAGAGCAGGAGTGAAATATATGTTTAATTAATGTATATGGTGCTTTAGGTGGGGGAACAGGAAAGGAGAAAATGGCTGAACTGGGAATCAAACCCCGGACCCCTGCATCACTAGTCAGGTGCTCTAACTCAGCTATCCAGTCTGATATATGGCCCAAACCATTACACATATAATGCAAGAAATACTAACCAAAATGTATGACCAAAAAACATCACCATGAACTGAAGGATTTTATAATGGATGGCTTTGTAGCTCTCTGGTATGTATGTCCAAATTATCTATCTAAGAGAGCTACAGTACTGCAGCTATACGTAAAGTGTACACATTAAATAACCTGCACAGACGATTTTTGAGATTCCAGCCTTCTTCCATTTGAGTAAATCACCACCTTTCCCAGAACACAGGTCAAGCACCACTAGAGATCTCTTGTTTGATTCCTTCTTTAACTGCTTCACCGTCTCTCCTGAAAATGTCACAAATTAATTTATTTATATAATCCATCCACTAAAAGAGTATACAGAGATCTACTATAAATAACTCAGAATTGCCCAATAAAACACTCTTAATCCCTTTTCTGACATGTTCAGGTGTTACTTTTAATAATTAAATATAAGGACACTCTGGAACTTGTTCGTGCCAAATTCAGCTCTTTTTTTATTCTTGATCCAGCTGTAAAGAGATTCAGAAACTATCAAGATACCAAGTAAAAAGTAAAACACATTACCTATTAGCACACTCTTGATCCAGTTGTTAAAGTTCCGTAAATAGAAGATCCGACTCTGTGTCCGCACGGCCAGCCCTGCCTCTTGGAGTTCATTATAATGCTTTGCGACTGTTTCCGATACATCCTTTAACAAAAAAATTACAGAGATCAAGAAGAAACATTACGGTATTACATTTGTAAGAACTGAAGTTTCTCTGTGTAAAAAAAAAAACAAAACTTTAAAAAAAATCATACTAAATTACACTCGCAATCATTTATTTAGAATTTACATTCTGCCACCTTACTGCAAACCACAAGATTACACTACGTGTACTACAGCCTTAATTATGAAGGGAAAAGAAACAAAACACAGACTTGCTGTTGTTTTGTTTTTGTTGGTATTTAACTATTTATTTAGTCTTTATTTTAATCAGTAGTGTAGGAATTGAGGTCTACCATATTTCTACATGTATTACATCAAACTCAATTATGTATTCTCTTCAAAAAATGATCAAATTTTAAAATACATGTATGTTCAGCATCCAAATTTAACATTTGTTTTATGAAATACACTGGAAAATATAAACTAAGTATTTCATTAAAAAACTGATAATCTTTTGAAAATGACCTACTAGTACTACATGTAGTAAATCAAATACTGTAGATCTCCAATTTTTTGTGAGATAGGTACTAAGTACTTACATGCCATTGTATATTCAGGACAAAATTTTCACTAATTCTGGTTAATGTTGTGCACAGTGCATACTAATTCTTATAAAATTATATGCAAGAAGGAAATTTTCATAAGCAGAAGGTCTCGCTTAATTTTGTGAATAAAAATTAAGTGATTTACAGTATAATATTTAATAGTTAGAGAAACTAGGAATAAAAAGTGGTTTACAGTATATTAGTTATAGAGAAACGTGAGACAATATACATGTATATATGTCTTTGTAGTAAGCCATTTCTTTGAAAATGAATCTCAAACTTCTGATTAATTTCTGATTTTATATTTCCTTCTTTAACCACAGTGATAACTAAGCATCTTCAGGCGTGTAGCCAGCATGGAAGTGAAGTGTACGCAGAGAACGGCAGTGGGGGGGGGGGGGGGGGGGGGGGGGGAGGTCCAACTTTCACAAATCAAAATTTTATCAATACATTACCAAATTACCATGATTTAACTATGCTTCAACAAAAAAGGGGGCAACCACCTTTCAATAAACATTTTCAATAGTAAAACGTTAGGTATGGAAATAAGTGGGGGCAGGCCACCCCCGTGCCCCCACCCCGATACTACGTTCCTGCTGTTGAGTGTCCAGAAGCTCCGAGTTTTGCCAAATATTTCATTCATTTTCTTGCAAAATATAAATCATGTCATTTACCTTTTGTTTAGAAAATAAATGACATTATATTAAATTAATATTTATTGTTTTAATGCAAAGTTAATACTTCCATGAATCTAATTGTACATGTAGTTTAGGCTAAATATTTAACTGGTATATTTGTATCATATACTTGTTTTTAACGTTCAAAAACACGGATACTAAATTTTAATTATTAACAAAAAAATATCGTATTTTAAATCATATACTAGTAGATCATAGCATTCAACGATGTGTTTGAAATTTAATTTCTAAAAGATCTTTTTAAAAAAACTATCAGTTTATTAAAGAACAATTAAAAATTAATGAATGATTTATTTGGATTTATCAATGATTTAATAAAGGATTTCAAATTTTATTATACAGTTGTGATAAAATTCAAATCGAAACAGTATGACACAAAATAATTTGAAACACGGATATTTGTTGGATGGTACAGAATTGAGATTTTTTCTTCGAATACACCCCCTTCTCTGTCTCCTTTTTTTTTTTTTTTTGAAAATGATGTGTACGCACTTGCGTATAGGCAGCTACGCCCCTGATCTTATCCTAACCTTTTCTTGAGCTGCTGAGGCCTCAGCATTGTCTGCATTTTGTTCCTTTTCTGCTGAAAAAGAAAATCAAACACAAACTTTTTAAATTAAAATGGGATCATGACTTACCATTGGGCATTATTCTGTAACCTATTAAATTTTCTAGCATTAAACAATTTATGAATAAAAACGATTTTTATATCGTTTCATTGTTTTCATTTACACAATGGGAGCAAGCCATTTGAAGCTTTGTAATTGTAGATTTAAGTGAAAATGTCAACCTAAATTACCTTGTTTTAAATTTTTAAATAGTTGAACAATGACAATTTGATGATAATTTTATTACAATTAGATATTGTAAAAACAAAGATAATCATAAAAGTCTAAATAAAATCAACCTTACTTTCTGTTTGCTCCATGCTGGATTTAAAGAGCTGTTTGCGACATTCAAGATTTTTTTTACTCTGTTGGTGAAAATCTAATCATATCAGATGAAAAGTATGTTATTTCAAATGTAATATTTTGCTTCTTAAAAAAAGTCAAATGATCTTATCTTTCTCCAAAGTTATCCTTGTTATGTCGTAAACATTGACCTTCACCTTTAAAGTGAAAATAGACAAAACAACGTGCGTTACGTCTTCTATGCATGTTCTAGTTAAATTCTCTGTTGCATCAGCTTCTGTAAAGGATAAGGAACAATGTATGATTTAATGTGTTACTGTAACTCCTAAAAGTCAAATATTTAAGGATGATCAGACACGGGGGTCTTTATGCAAGGCGCATTTTATTTTCTTCATTACGCAGCGGATGCTATGAATCGTTGTCTTGTTATGGTAAGAACAGAAAAGAATTTCATTTTATCGATATGTTGATTTTTTTTTCATGTTTAGAAACAAAAAAACGTGTTTTTTTAAAATGATATATCAATTAGTTTTTGAAAGCTCACAGTTTTTTTTGGTTTTACATACCTAACGTTAGTAATCTCGGTGAGATTCGTCGTAACTAAAATATTTGTACTGACGACGTCAAAATTTTGTACTGACGTGCCTTCCGAATCACTTTGTCTGGCATTGGTTTAAGCCTGGTTTTATGGCTCATCCTTGCCAAGAAAGGAGAGCCAGGTGGATTACAATCGATACTGTCCCCTGATTGGTCAGAACAATTTGTGCTTAATTGTGGATTTTTGAGCTGTTGCTGTTAACCACGGAAATGAATATTGACGTCACAATGATACATTGCATCGAAGGCGTAGAAAAAATATGACGCCACAATGGGGTCAGATTCAGGGCAGATTCGCCCTAAATCCATTGTAGTCCACCTGGCCCTAGTGTCGCGGAGTATACATGGCATAAAAGGGACAGGGAACCAGGCTAGCATTGGTTTGAGATTCAGAAAAGAGGTCAGTACAAAAGTTTTAGTCTGTATATGTAGATTGCATGTTGTAGAACCGAAGTATGGTTTTTTACAACGGTAGAGAGAACACCGGATTTTATTGGCATCGATGTTCTTGTACTGTGTAGGGCAGTCTTATATCCCTCTACAGTGTCTGCATGCATGACTGAATCTGGTAGGTGGTTCCAGTGTATACACGTGTTGACAAAAAATGAGTATCGATATTGGGGTGTTCTGCTGCTAGGTATGACAAGTCCTTTGCTGTTATTACATACATGCTTGTGAACGATATTTGTTGTATGGTGGTCTCTGAATTATTTTGATTTAATTTGGCATTTGACACTTCTTACGAATGAATGAGGAGGCACTGAAGGCACCAACCCCTCAACCACTCTGTACATGAGGATGAGTCTTCAATAGGCTTGTTCTTTTTTCCTCCAGGGTCTCAATTCAAGGCTCTTTCTTATACAGTAAAACTCAGTTATAGTGAAGTTCTGGGGACCTGAGAATTTACTTCGCTATATCCGTAATTCGTTATATCCGTTTAACAAATTCGTTAAAGTATACATGGCAACTTCGCAATATAGATTTTTTTCCTTGAAGTATGACTACCAAATGTATTTAGGGAAGTATAAAATGTAAAATTTACCTTGGAGTCAAAAATTTTTGGATGAATAGTGTTCTAAATATATATACTTAAAAAATAAATGTCAGTTCAATATTTTAAAAACTAAATTCTTTAAAAATTTGCTATAAAAGATGTAAATTTCATTATTTTTAACTTCTAGGGATACAGAATCAGTTCACTATAACTGTAAATTCATTATATCCGAGTTCGTTATATCCATAATATTTTACAAGGAATTGTTAAGAATTTTGCCAAGGATTGCAAAAAAATTAGCTATATCAGTAAATTCATTATATCCATGTTCGTACTAAATGAGTTTTACTGTAGATGTTATTGCTCCCGGGTTTCTGCTCTTGTAGTCCTTTATATTAAATCTTATGGTTCTGTTTTGTGTCCTTTCTAATTTGTCAATATCCCCTTTGAGGTATGGATTCCAGATGGTGGCTCTACATTCCTCCATATTAGTCTCTTCCAGGGCTTGGCACGGCACTATAAATATAACAGAAGAAGAGCCTGGGTTGGTGTATTCGGGGGCGAAGACCTTTAGGCAGGGAGGCATGTGTTGGTCGGACGGGTTTGATGGGTCATGGCCAGATAGTTCAGTTGGTAGAGCACCTGACTGGAGATTCAGGGGGCCCGGGTTCGAACCCAAGTCTGGTCTATCACATTTTTATCCTCTCCTGTTAAAGCAGCATGGCCCATCTGTAATAACATGTTTACGTAGTTTACAAGTTGAAATCAAAACCTGGCTTAAAATAAAATAGTATTTTTTAATGCATATTAGCCTTCGGACAACCTCAACATAACTGCGTTAAAGATTTGAATGTAAAATCCTCCCAGAATGGATGATAAAGCCTTGAAGAGTCAGGAGAAAAACTGCCAGGGATAAGCCTGGGTCATTTTCCACCAGGGAAAATATGTATTTCGAGGGATAGCGGTATGACAGGCAAAATCATTTACAATTGGCCAGGTGGATTTGATAGAGCACCTGTCTAAAGTTCAGGGGTCAAGGTTTGAATTCTGATTAGGTCTGTTACATTCCTTTTTGTTAAAAATCCCATGCAATTTATTTATTTTTCAGGATATTTGTTAAACTGCCAGCCTGTTACAAGGTTTTCAACAGAAGTAATAAAATACAGACAGTGGTCTCTGCCACAGAAACTCCAGCTTTATCAGCCATTCAAAAGATTTAGCCAATCAGCAGAGAACACAACCAAAGCAGCAGACGCAGCTGCTGAGACAGAGAAACTCTCGGTGTTTAAGCGATTTCAAAAGACGTACAAGGAGCATGGCAAGGTGCTGGTTGGAGTTCATCTAGTCACGTCACTGGTATGGTATGGCTCCTTCTACCTAACTCTGTCAAGGTGAGTTGTTTGGACCAACAATAGAGACTGCTCTGTTTGATTTATATTGACTGGTTCACCCAAATCACAGTGATTTGATCATTTTAAAGACATGTGCTCAAGAGGAATTTTTTTTATTATGATGAGTTATGATAGGCTGCAATATACATCATCCCACCATTCAACCTCCCTCAAATCTCAATTTGTTGCACCTGAGGCTTTAGCTTTACATCTGTAACTCATAGGTGTCAAAAAATATGACATAAAAAGGACAATTTACAGCAGAGAAAAAATGATTCAATATTTATATGTTGGTATCTTTTTTTTTTCACTGTCAGCAGAAAAGTTTTACATTCTCTATCCAGAGTTGTCCACCACTATGCTACCAATGTGAACGACAGTTCTGGATAGAGAATGAAAACTTTTTACTGATTGTATTCTTGAACTGCTACAAAACTTTTTACAACTCTTTTTGAATAATGGCAGCTTTGATATATATATATATATATATAGATGTATTGACACTGCCATTTTGAGTGACAATACAGTGGATAGACACTCAGCCCATTGACATGTCAACCATATAGTACACAGAGTTTAACAAATTAACATTTTAAACAAAAAACATTAATTTGATGACAATTTTTTCAAAAATTGATGGTCTCATAAGACCAGTTTAACACCCAAACCAAGGTAAATCTCTAACACCCAAACCAAGGTAAATCTCTAACACCCAAACCAAGGTAAATCTCTAACACCCAAACCAAGGTAAATCTCTAACACCCAAACCAAGGTAAATCTCTAACACCCAAACCAAGGTAAATCTCTAACACCCAAACCAAGGTAAATCTCTAACACCCAAACCAAGGTAAATCTCTAACACCCAAACCAAGGTAAATCTCTAACACCCAAACCAAGGTAAATCTCTTATACCCAAACCAAGGTAAATCTCTAACACCCAAACCAAGGTAAATCTCTAACACCCAAACCAAGGTAAATCTCTAACACCCAAACCAAGGTAAATCTCTAACACCCAAACCAAGGTAAATCTCTAACACCCAAACCAAGGTAAATCTCGTTCATTTGTGGTTTAATTATGGTTTTGTCAAAGGCCAAGATGTCCAAAAATTTATTTTTACAATAGCAAAAGTATGTGAGGTATAAGGTTAAAACTTTTACAGTTTATAAATATATCATTGATTAACAGATAGAAAATATCACTTGAAAACAAATATTTAAAAAAATATATTTTTTGAGAAAAAATTTTAAAAAATTACATATTTTTTAAAAAAATGCACCTGCTTAATTCTGTACTTTTAGTGAAAACCATCATTGCAGAAATAATTATGTTTATCAATGAAGGGCAAGTTGGACGTGAATGGTCTCTGAAAGGCTGTTATTGAAAGCATGACATGTATAAGGCCAAACAAAAAAATATGTGTGGTTCCGGTTACACTTCCAAAAAAATTAGGGTAGGTAGGTAGGGAATTTTTTTTTTTTTTTTTTTTTTTTTTTTTTTAACAAAATGATTTTCTTAATTTTTCTAAATAATAGCCTACCTATCACTGCTTTGCAAATGGCATTTAGATGTGATGTGATAATATACTAGTCAATATTGATAGGGGACACCTACATGCTAGCTCGCTTTGGACTTAATACTATTAAACACTTGCACTATGTTTTGCAAGGAGGCCGTCATTGCTGAAACTAAAACTTAAACCGGAGCCATTGATGGAAATCGAGGAAAATTCCGGAAAAAATATGAAAATTGCCCCAAAAAAGTTTAGGGTCGGGAGGTATAAAATAGGGAAGGTCGGGTAACCGGAACCACACATATTTTTTTATTTGGCATAAAGAGAAGACCCCTATAAAATCCACCATTTGCAATGTACTTTCGGTTTCAGATCTTAGCATTTGCACAAAATAAACAGGGAAAGCAACTTTCCAGAGGCTATCGAAGTCCAACTTGCCCTTCATTGATAAACATATATTGTTTCTGCAATGATGGCTTTCACTAAAAGTATGGAATTAATTAGGTGTATTTTTTAAAAAATATATGCATCTTTTAAAAAGAATTTTTCTCGATAAATATTTTTTAAAAGTATTTGTTATCAAGTGATACTTTCTATCTGTTAATCAATGATATATTTATACTCTGTAAAAGTTTTAACTTTATAAACCACATAGTTTTGGAGCTATTGTAAAAATAAATTTTTGGACATGTTGACCTTTGGCAAAACCTTAAACATTGTCAGTCACTTAGTTTTAAAAAGAAAAAAAATGAAAGTATGCAGTTACAAAATCAAATGAAGAAAATTAAGACATGTATTTTATAATTATTCGAAGCCTCAGACTTTTATGAAGGTAGACAGTTAATTGTGGGGCAGGCCTTGTAAGTTTGTGCAAAAAAATGTCCCATGACTGACCCACATTTTAAAAAGATGGGTGAAGTATCGAAACGAAACATTTTTGTCGGAGTAAGTCATTCTATTTATATTTTCATTTTGAGAGCATATCTATTTTGTGCATAGTTTGCTCCCCCCCCCCCCCCAAAAAAAAACTTTGTATCTTTTCAAAATTAAGAGGAAACAATGTACTCAATTTGGGTTTAGCTTTATTTTTAAAAATTCAATTTTCTATTTAGTCTTGAATCGGCTATAACTCTGAGAGAGACTGAAAAACAGAAATTCCTTTATTTAAGTACATTTTCATGTTATATGTTTGTAAGTATCTTAGACTTAAGTAAAAAAAAAAAAAGACATTATTTTTACAGTAAGATTCAGTCTTATTTCCATTACTTTGACCATCTCTAATTGTAGTAGTAGGGTAGTTTAGTACATCTGAAAGTGCTAGTTATTTGTTCAATTTTCATTTGAATTTGCTCAGATCAGTCAAACATATGGTACAAGTAGTTACAAGTACAAATTACGGTCAAACCTCGTTATCTCAAACTCGATGGGACCGAGAAAAAAACTTTGAGATATCCGCGGGTTACAGATACCGAGTGTCAAATACTTCAGAAATACGTGGTTAGGACTTCCCAATCACTTTGACATTTCCATGGTATCCGACATATCCGTGTTCCAGACACTGAAGTTCAACTGTACATCCTCTGTATCTTAAGGGTCAAATTTACACCTTAATTTACATTTTGTGGAAATTGTCATCTTCTGTTTGATATTTTTCAGTGGTTTTGACCTGCCTGGCTTCTTGGAAAAAGTGGACTGGAATGCAAGGGTTGTGAAACCATTAAATTTCATTGGCATAGAAGTCAGTTTAGAGAAAATAGAAAAATTTGTTCAAGTTATGAAAAGTTCTGGGAGCTATGCAGGGGCGTATCTTATGTACAAAATCGCAACACCTGCCAGGTATACAGTGACACTTGGGGGAACAAACATGGCCATAAAATATTTACGAAAGTCTGGGAAGATCCCACTTGTAAAGGAGGCCGATAAATTGGGGCACTTAATGAAGGAATCAAAGGTAGAACTAGAGGCCAGGATGAAGAAAAGCGTGGCTCAGGGAAGGAAGAGGTACGACACTATGAAAGCAAAGAGACTAGGAAATAAAAAACAGGGACAGTTATTGATGAAAGCTCAGGAGTTCTACAAGAAAAGAAATGGACCCAGGAATGGAACAGTACAGAGACAGGACAAGTGGCTCACAAAGGCACGGGAGTATTATAAAAATAGGAAAAACCAGAAATCAAGGCCCGCATAGTCTGACCTTTGTTATATACAAAGGCATGGGAGTATTATGAAAATAGGAAAAACCAGAAATCAAGACCCCCATATACTGACCTGTGCTGACCTATGTTATATATGTAGCCTCTGAAAAATCTCAAAGCTTGCCGCTAATTCTGATTTAAAAATTATTAAAAGCATATTTTTTTTAAATTGATCATAAAGATCATTATCATTTTTAAGATAAAATCTTTTATTGCTGACAGATGAATCTTAAAAGGTGATTTTTAAATGTATTTTATGTGTGTGCCATGACTGTGATTTGCCTTGACTATCAGTTGTCATTCATTGAGGGAAAGATCATCTTTCATTTTCAATTTGTCATTATTTAATTCTTACAATTTTTAAAATAATAATTATTTTATCAATACAATTGTGAATTGATTACAATCTGTTTGAAAGCTTTATTTTATTACATGTATTTGTCTTATGCGTTTTAAATGACATTGTATCAGATTCTTGTGTACATGAACATATACTTCTGAATGAACTAAGCTTTATAAGCTTTACCAAACATAATTCAATATACACAATCAAATGAAATAATGTGTTACTGTTAAACAGTTACTTATCAAATTATATGATATACATTCTATAAACATTATAAATATGTATGATTGTGTTCTAAACAAATGTATAACATTTCTTGCAGCTAAAAAAAAATAAATTATAAGTAAGATCTTATTTGTAACTTAAAAAAACAACAATATGTGTTTGTGAAATACTGATGCCCCAATATGGCAACTTATAGCAAAGGTTAAACTTTCTCAAATGCAAATCAAATATGTTGGTACCGAAAGTAAGGTTTTGTCTCAAGGGATGTACCTGTGAAATATAAAAGCAATAGCAGCAAACATTGAAAAGATATTAAAAAAAAAAGTTAAAGTTTTCAAAAATAAGTCAAACATCAAGGTCAGGGTCAAATGGTTAAAATTAATGGTGCCCAAGAAAAGGCCTTCTCGCTAAAAATACACAGGTGAAATATGAAAACCCTAGCTCTGACCGTTCAAAATTTATGGCCAAGATAAAAAAAATTTATAAGTAGGTCAAACTTCAAGATCAAGGTCAAACAGCCAAAGTAGTTGGTATCCAAAAAAGGTCTTGTCACAAGGATTATATATGTGAAGTATGAAAGCCTTAGCACCACTGGTAGGTCAAAAACCAAGGTCAAGGTCAATGGACTAAAATTCTTGGTATCCAAAGGAAGGTCTTGTCACAAGGAATACTCATCTGAAGTATGAAAGCCCTTGCACCAACTGTTCAAAATTTATGGCCAAGGTGATAGTTTTTCAAAAGAATGTCAAACTCCTAGGTCAAGGTCAAAGTTGTTGGTATCCAAAGGAAGGTCTTTTCACAAGGATTATATGTGTGAAGTATGAAAGCCCCAACAACTGTTCAAAAGTTATTGCCAAGGTTAAAGTTGGGTAAAATTTTGCAAAATCCAAGGTCAAAAGGTCGAATATGATTGCATCAAAAATACACATGTGAAATATGAAAGCCATAGCTCGAAACCCAAAAAAAAAAATGATGGACAAGGTTAAAGTTTTTGCGGACAAACAGATAGAAAAACAGGTAAAAAACTATATGTCCCGAATCTTCGAACCGTTGATATCAAAAACCGATTCCACCGCAATTTTGGTTTGTGAGCTCGTCATTTTTAAATTACGTCGGTGTTCTTTTTCGACTCGTGCGTCGTGTGTCTAATTTTCAGCATATTTACTCCCTGCCCAATGCAGCTAGAGAGTCGGGATTTTCTCTCTAACATTCACATTAATCAACTCGACTGGCCTTTGTTACGTTAATCTTCTTCGCCAGTTGAACATTTGTTGGACTAACAAAAGGCATCGGAAAGACGAAGCGACTCTCCACCAGCTAAAAGCTACATTGTCGGAATTCTTGAATAATATCCGTAGGAGAAAGATTGATTGATTGATTGACTGTTGTTTAACGTCCAGTTCGAGAATTTTTCACTCATAAAGAGACCATATACCGATGAAGGGCTTCAAATTTAGACCTTTACTCGGCACTCAGGGCCATTGAGCAGTGAGGGTACTTTATCGTGCCAACGCCTACAGTGACAAAGGGCCTCGGTTTTTTAAGGTCTCATCCGAAGGACCCGCAACTTTCACTCCAAAGTGCCGAGCGCTTGGCGAAGGAACAGTTGCTACCTATTTTTTATCGACTTAGGTCAGTCACGGCCGTGATTCGAACTCACGACAATCCGATCACGGAACAAGCGCTCTACCGACTGAGCTACCGTGATGGTCATATGAGAAAGATAAATGCAGTAGGGAACTCCATGCAGAGGAGAAACAAGGCTGTGAAAAATGCGCGAGGGAGGCATAGGTGATTTTGATTTTCACTTTTGGGAGGTACCGTCATATGAGATTCAATAACTCATGAATTATCAGTCAAAATCAAGCGAGATCTTGGTTACTTGTTGACTAAATTAAAGATCAGTTTAAATGTTTGATTACAAACATACGTGGAAAATACGTTTGAAAAAAAAGCATAAAAACACATCAAAAGTTTACCCTGCGTTTCATTTTCCTTTCAGGATATATTACAGAATCGCATTAGAAAATTAAAGGACAAAATGTGAACTATCTTTCTTTACATTTTCAGTAGACCAGAAGTGCTAAAAGAATTACATGAAAAATATGTTTTGGTTCCAGCTGACAAAACTTAATATGATAATATAGTCTGTTTCTAAGGCTCATTACTACAACTGTATTTTAGAAGAACTCGGTTTTAATTCCACATCTGGTAATCCAACTTACATACACAGCTCCCTTTGAAAGGATAAAATTCTTCAAAATCACCTTTCAGTTTTTAATACATTTAAAATTCCAGTCAATGGAAGTGAGTATGAATTACCATACCTCTACTGGATTCCAAAACTTCATAAAAATCCTTACAAACAGAAATTGGAGGGTCCATGCAGTAAATGTTCAAGCAAACGCGTATCCTTACTCCTCACCAAAATATTAACTGTTGTGAAGGAGAAACTTTCTAAATATTGTTCTACATGTACAACATATTCAAGAAGTGATATAAATCAAATGTGGATTCTAAAAAAATTGAAAATCTCAAAACTTTCAAACATCAAAAGCATCTTTGAAGCATATGACTTTTCTAAGCTTTATTCAACCTTTCTTCAGGCTTTTGACATCATAGACAACTACTTACTCAATAAAAATGGAATCGTATTTTCGTATCTTGTGATTGGTCATTCACAAAATTACTTTATTATAAATCATTCTGATTCTACATGTATACAAGAACTCTGAAGTTGATACTGAAAAGATGCTGGGGTTCCCCATTGACAGTTTCTATCTAGTCTTTGGAGAACCAGGTCTCCCAAAATCTATTGGACTTTCAATGAGCACTAATTGAGCTTATTTTATACCTGTTTTTATATTCCCCTGAAGCATAATTCATTAAAAAATTTCTTCATGAGAAGAAAACCGAGGCAGGCTACTCTCACGAGAGAAATAAATTTCATATCCAACTACAAAACATTGAATTTTCTGTTTATTACATTTTCTTTGATTTTCATTTGCCTCTGTCTTTTCTTAACACAGTGTCATAGGCTGTGACGTCATAGTTGAGCAGTTGAGACGTCATAGCCTAGCAATTGTGAGGTTTTAACCCTCTGGCTGCGACGTCAGTGTACAGAAAATATAACGTCACTGCGAGATTAAAACGACGTCACAATTTCTTTGACATTATTTTGCGGGATTTTTTCTGGTTTACGCTTAGTGCGCGCAAATACAGGAAAGCGTGTATGGAAATTTATTCAATTTTTACATCAACAAAACAAGGGTGGATTTAGAAATTCTTTATTTTTACATCTATATTTTGTCCCAATTTTAATCATTATTTATAATTATGATATTTTAAAGATATTTTCGATAAAAACCGATAATCTATTATGAAGAATGAATTCATAAAAATCAGAAGCGAATTCAAATCAGCTAAATAATCCTAAACAATATCGATAGTTTGTTAAATATTTGCTACAAAATTAAGTAAAAATATAGTATATAGATCAACATTAGTATATTTTCATTATCCATCTTATTTTTCATTTGCATTCAAATTTCTTACTATACGGTGTGATGCCTTCTAAAATATTTCGCTCAAAGTCAAAATTTACATGAAGCGTACCACGTTCTATTAATTTTGCTTCTACAGCCAGCGAAGATTTTTCTATTCATAATTTAAGTAAAAAGCAAGCTAAATTCCTCCAAGAATGGTTCTCACTTAAAAAATACATGTAAAATCATAATAAAACAACTTTGACCCATGAATTTGAACTTAATTTATTAGAATTAATTCTATAGAAGTTGTATAAATATTTCATTTTGGCATTAATGTTGACTGAATGATTAAACGCATGTTAGACTAATTGATTTATTTTTTAATTAATAAACCAGCAATTAGGAAAAAAAAAAGATTTACCATTAAGCTGTTCGGTGTAATGCTTCTCTGTTAATTTGGCCAAAAGGCCGAGACGGTACCTTCCGGTCTGATGTTTTAGATTGGCAGGAGTAAAAGTCTTTGTGCATAGTCCACTTCCTTGTCGATAAATAATATAGCGGTAGGCATTGGCTAGGCTATAAGGTCTTGTTAATCCTTGTTATAGGAACACTTCAAAATATAATCTTAATCTGATAAATATATAGACCAGTTGAAAAAATATAATTTGTACATCAGAGGTAATTTCAGCAACATTAATTCTGTAATTCCATATTTTATGGATGAGTTCGATTAAAGGGGAAAAAAATATTTGCAGTTTATCGGAAGTTAAATTTGATAAACGAATTCAACTGCGTCAATATCGAATAAAATTCTGAAAAGAAAATAAATTAGGGTTGTATTCCATATTCTGTTGGATCGATCTGATATCGGGATCATATAATTCCAACGATATGTAGGACAAGTCGATACCGGCAATCTTGTTTTATACAAAATAGACATCAGGGAACTTTTGCATTTTGTATTGAAATTATGTTGTAAAGTTAAAATACATACGAACAATGTTTTATTTTATGAGAGAAAGTGAAAGGATAATGAGAAGAATTCAAAATTTAATTCAAACCAATACAATCATGCTATTAGAATGTTAGAAAATTTTTGCTCCGTTTCCACATCTTAGTATCCAGCTGTATTGTTCATTTAAGATGAGATTAAGATGTAATGTTCACCATGATGTATGGGATATTCTATAAACTAGCAAGAAGGGTGTTTGGTAAAGGAAGACTTCGGTTGACAAGGGCATTGTTTTCTTTTTTACCAAAAAATTTCCTTTGCTTTTAACATTGGGTAATAAATCCTAGTTTAAACCATATCTTTTTTAGAATTACAAGTATAATGAATAAACATACATTTGACAAATATGAAACGGGATTTGGAAACAAGTTAAAAGCTTATCTATCCGTCCCCTTATTACTGAG